TTTAATAAATACAAATCTTATTCACCTCAAGAAAACTGCAATAACAAAAACATTTCCTGTATTGTGGAATTATAGTGTTTGGAGTTCTAGATTGATTCATACGAAAATATCAGGTTATCTGACAGGTACATCAAAAGAATCTTCTTATCTATCTTATTATTATAAATTACATTTTTCATAAAGAAAAATTTGGTTTTTTACTACAGGAATTAATGATTAGGAAAATTATCTCAGACAGAAAGATTGACAGTGCAGTCATTAATAACTAATATAAGAAGTGTAGATATAAATTAAATGAGAGCTTTAATGATAACGTTTAAAAATTATTCTTATAATTCAGGGAGTCTAAAGATTAAGATGATCCCACGTTTCAGTCAGGCATGTCCGTGTGTTGCCATAAATACGTCGAGATATCGTTACGTAATCGTCTCGCGGGATCTCCCGAATCCCATTTTCCCGAGGGTGTGCAAAGAGGGATGTACGGGGGGGGGGGGTTGTGTTGTGTCGGTGCGGGCCGGGGGGGGGGAGGAGGGTGAACACCACTTTTCCTCCATCAGTTGTGACGCGACAGTCCTCCCGCGTGGACGTATTCGTTTTTTATGTGAGCTGTTCTCTTTTCGCGGTGAGCTAAATATTTATGTTACTCATAATTACTTTTTCATATTTAACGGTATACGAAAATATATATTAATTTAAAATCAAGTTCGTATAACTATACTAGATTGTTAAAAATGTCAATAGTATTAAAGCTGTGAATCTGCCGATGAAATTGATCTTTTGTTACATTTTATTTGGAAAAAACCGGCGGCGGAATTGTTTTTCGAATTGTTCAAAGTTTTAATGACTTTCATTTTATAAATACTGAATCCTATTGTTTGTAACTTCGTGTTTTTTATAATGAACTATGAATGTAATAAATATCGGATGTTGTGTGTTTACATTTCCTTATTTATCAATATCATCTTCAGTGATATTAATATGAGATATTTAACATATTTTAATACCAAAAATTCCTTTTTAAGTTATAATAGTGTGACATTCACATGAATATATGAATGTCGTTGAAACAAACACGCTTATATTTATTTTTGTGTTAGTTTGTAGAATCTTTAACATTTGCAAGACATTACTATCTTTTAATTCATTTCCTTTATTTTATAAAAATAACCCCTGTTACATTTTTTGAGTATAGATATTTTTGAGTACATTGCTAGTTGTATCAGCTACTTATCTTGGAAGAATTTTGTTCTTTCGTAATATCTGTCGGTCTCCTGTATACACATACATTTTTAAATATTCTTCAATATGAGTATTTTGTGTTATTTTTATGTTAACTTTGGTCGTTGTGTGATTTCTCTCATTACATTAATTGTCTATCTGTTTTAAAATATATTCATCACACGTTTCATTATTTCTGTTTTACAATAATTCGTATTTCATTAAAACCGAATGTATTAATATGTATCTACAACAGTTTGATAAAGTTTAATCATTAAAGTTTAATCATTAAAATATATTCATAATTATTAATTATAAAGGCTTTTTGTTTAGAGCAAAAATATGTATTACAATTATTAGATTGCTTTCATAAAATAACGGATATATGTATTTTCGTAGGCGTTGAAGAAGGTTCGACTCATGGTAATGTTTAATTTCAAAACTCTTATATGAAGTATAATCTTAAAATATATACTTTCTAATTCATAATTTATCTTCAATAAACAATAAACAGCTTTCAAACTTTTCATCTGTAAGCCAATTCACGAGTTCACAGATCCTATACATCGCTCGGTGGTAGTTAAGTCTGCGTTTTTAATAATTACCACAAACAAACAACATAACATATATCGAACAAAATAAACCGCCGTCAATTTCAGGAGCGTGAAGTTAAGTCGTTATTTGAAGTCATAAAATTAGGTAAGCTTAGTTAGGTTTATAGTTCTGGGGCGAGAAAACATTCCCAGCGCCAGCTACATACATACGACTCAAGTTACTATTTACATATTAAGCTGTTCTGTAATAGTGTTACTGTTTTAAATGTTGTTTCTAATGTAATGAGAAGAACTAATTAAATAATAAATAATTTAAAGAACAATTTTCTAGTGTAAACAATATTTAAGTAAGATTTCAAAGAAAGAAAAACTTTTCTTAAAGATTATATATTTCTAAAGAGATCTATTTGGTGTCATTCATTCTGATTTATGGAATCCAAATGCGTAGAAACTATTTACTTGTGTTGGTATGAGATGCTGCCAAATTAGATTGTCGAGAGTCACGTATTTAAGGGTAGGACGAGTCCTTGTACTTGGATAGATTGTATTACCGTTAGTGTTCGGACGAAGGCGGAATTACGAATTATGTTACACAACATGTGCTACGGATACTGAAAAATACATGCAGACATACTCTTAGTAGTGTTAGTAGTATTATAGAGCTGACAGTCTTCGTTAGGAGTACTTAAAAGTATCCAGTCTACTTTATAATAAGAAGGCTTCAAATATCTTTTTGTAATAAACAGTGATTTTTTTCACAAAAAACCTCTCCAAATTATATTCTTAATTTGTAATATTATATATAACTGAATAATTCCGTCAGCGGGTCTACTGAAGGTTCATTATGAAAGCAAAAGATTTTGTAAATTATCATCAGAGTTAAAGAGACACAGAGATCCCCTATTCAGCTGTTACTTGGACGTAACGTACAAAATTAGAAAAAGAAACAATAAAATAATTTTCCTCCAAATTGCTAAGTGTCGCTTGTCAGCTGCGGAATTTCGAATAATGTTGCGATTAGGGACGGGAAATCTCGACGCTGCATTTTTATTTGGGTCTGAATTTATTCAGGGTTGAAACACAACGTGAGGAATACAAGTTAGTGTGATAATTCTTTGAACACTTAGCAACAGATTTGTATTTTCAATTCACTGTACTGATACTAATTTTAAATATTGAAATGAATTTCTTTGTCTGTGACCACAGACGGCATGCGTTATATATATATACAGGGTGACTGGTGAATTACTATCAATATTTAAGGAGAATACTCGGTACATGATTCTCATTCGAATTATGTAAAAAATAGGCATTTAATTTTTGACAAAATTTCCGTATAAATAAGTAAAGTGTTGACACGTTCCAAGTGTTCAAGTGTGGACGCGTGCGGCGGCGTGCTGATACAACACTACGTCACGACACGCGTTGGTGTGAGTGTGTGTGTATACCTAATCTGTAGGGTGTTCACACGATGCGTAATTAATTACATAACTTTTGGTTAACTTTACTTAGAAGTTTATTAATATTTATGTTATATTAATTTTTATTTTGTCATATATGATCGTCAAATATCATGTCCTCAAATATCGATAGTAATTCACCAGTCACCCTGTATATTATTTAATACTCGTCATTCATTCTGTACTCGTCGTGTCTCGTGTGTTAAGACGTGTCCTCTACTTGTGTCACATCTATCTAATACTCGTCTTAATATCGTCGTTACGTGTTCTTTTCTTTCGTTATTACTTATTTTCAGTCTCATTTTGTATTTTAAGTATATTTTAGGCTTTACTTTACACATATTTCTTTTATTTTTAAAAATAAAACCTACAAACAAGGAACAAACGTAATATTTCACATATAAAAGTGGTGTACAAAGTAATTCAGTGCATTTTTAAGTCTCTGTTCTATTATCTCGTATTATGAATGTTGGTTCAAGCACAGCAGTCCAAGGTTTTTCTTTCTCCCGTACATATTTACTATTTACTCTGTTAATTAGGCTATTATTTCGCTTCTGGGAATAATTTTTCAGTTTCATTAGTAACATAATACTGGCTCATTACATCGTTTAAATGGTTTGTTGCTGTTATGTTCATGTTGTTGATTTATATCGTATTTATTTTTATAAAGCTTATATTTATTTTCTTCTATCGATATCATAGTCCTACTCTTAGTGTTTTCACATTGGTGTTAGGGATTGTAAACTGACCGAAAAGACACAATTATGATACCAAGGGATGATAATTAACTGAAACCTCCTTTTTTCTCTAACTATTACGAATTTATAACATGAAGTTGTTGATTTTTTATTCAACCATTGTTCTTGAAAATATATATTCGTTTTTTTTTGTATAAGAGCTACGCATTATAATTTTGAGATAATTTTAGAATTTTTTCCACAGAAACTGTCTTAATTTTATAAAAATGTTTAATACTTTATTGCTTCTAAATTGTTTTGAGAGTTTTGTAAGTGGCAAATTTCAAATTTCTTTTATATACTTATTATTTAATTAGCTCTATAAAAGCGGTTTCAAGAAGAAGAAGAAGAAATTTTAATTGTTTTTAGTATGACTATTATTATAATAGAATCACAAAGTGGTCGAAACACTTTAAACTTTAACCAAAGGAAATTATTTAATGAAAAACTCATAAATAACACTGTGAGAGCTGTATTCGAAGGCTTGATCTCGAATGAATTTTTAATTGAAAACTATTAGTTAGAGAGGGTCAAAGAACCTACCTTTTTATTATATAACTTCTTCATTTTGATGGCACTCTGTTAAGTTATATTTAATTTTTAAATATATTGACGCTTGCTTGTATTCCATTTTATAAATAATATAATTCTAAACGGTTGTTTATTATCATTATAAGTCGTAATTTAGCCCCAATAATAGTTTGTTTGATTCCGGTTTCACTTAAAGGACACGATATATTTACAAACCATACAGAATATCAACCGACTCATACAATAATGATAAATTAACAAAACTACTCGCTCTCCTTGTCATGATAAAGTTAGTTGCTCTCTTCTTGGAGGAGCGCTCGGAACCCTCCCGAACTTACTTTAGAGTCATGTATAACTTGTCACTGTCAAAAAAGTAATAGTGTACGGTGTACGCACCAACTTGGATGAAATTCTTTTCCTGTTTCCAAGTCATATTTCATTACGTACGTCTTGTGTCAGACTGGAGTGTAGTGAACGCCTCTTCCATGTATCTCTATTCAATGCCAAGACCGCTGGCTGGGTCTGATAACACGATCCAGGGTCCATGTCGTCTCTGGGGGAGGCTGGTAATGAATCAGCCGGCCGCGGCCCCACAGAGACACTCCATGGCGATTTATGACAAACTTAATTACTAGAAAATAGGATTAGTCTCTCTCTATATAGACGACCACATAAAGAATTTAATAGAAAATATATTTCACTCAATTTTGTTTAAAAAATGATTAAAATTTAGAAATTATGTATAGATCAGTGATGTTCCTTTGTATAATTTAATAATACAGAGGTAATTCAAAAGTTTATTAAGTTCCTAACTATGTGTTTACGTAAGATGTTTATGTAACAAACACGTTATATAAAATGTGTGTATATACATATGTGAAGGTCTGCGATATAACATAATTTGTTTTTAATATTAGCTACCCAAGTACCTACCCGAGCGACTCTCTCAAATAGTGATCAATAGTATAACGTATGTACATATTACTTATTATATTCTTAATATCAAACTATGTTAATCCCGAACCAAACAACTTACACGTTTATCATCTCAGATGTCTTAAGTAAAGGGCTATCGACAAATAATATTGATTTCCTCCTTTGTCCATGTTATTGTGTGTGTGTGTGTGTGTGTGTGTGTGTGTGTGTGTGTGTAGGAACTCTGTTTAACTCGCTTACTACGTGTTAAAAGTTTCATTATTTGCTTAGGTTTATAAGTTGTTGTATTTGAACGTTGTCTTGTAAGTTAAATACTTTCAGTTAATTGGTATGTTAACATCTGTCGGATTTCATCAAACTTGTTAAATTAATAACGTCTATATATAACATTGTTACGTACATTTATAATATTAATAGATCTTAGTTGTTATGTAATATATGTTCTTATAAAATAATAATAAGACAGTTTTAGTACTCTCAGTATTCTCATAGTTTGACAGCTACGACCAACTGGAAAATATTTAAAGTCGGTTGAGATTTAAAGGAATATAATGTAAAAAGATTTGAAGATCATTCATCAATACAGTTTTATAAAACACGATATTTTATAAGAAATAAACTTATTATTACTTCATTATCTAATTTATTTTTTCTATTCAATAGAATATAAAGGTGGGAGTTCTTAAAGTATGAGTATGTAAAATATATAATAATTACTATCAATAATACTTCTAACAACTGTATTTATTCTGTCTGTTGGTCCATATATCTATAATGATTCTCACCTCCTAACCCCGAGGTGTCTTAATGTACATTACATCGCTTCAGTAAACAATCTCAATTCTCTTCATCAAAGTGTTTTTAACAAACAAAGTCACGTGTCTTTTATTCTTAGGCCGCGGACGGACGCTTTAATCAAACCCTGATTTATCGTTTTACACTATTTGGGGTGTATTCGGACTATAGAAAGTGATCTCTATGTTTGAGTGTTAAAGTTCATATTTCTATAACAAAGGTTGCGGCCGCAGTGAGGGTGTACCGTTTAACGAAACGCAGCAGCTACTTTGTTGCTTTGTGTTGGAGAGCGTTTTCGAATCTCTTGTTATAATTAGCCGAGTCCTGTTAATGCAATTGAGGTTTTATTGTAAAGTATCACGGTTCTATTTTCGCTGATTAAACTCTTAATTGGATGAACGGCTCTCCGTGAGAGTTGACACTAGGCAGGAAACATCTCCACGTTGTGTTCGAACATAAATCTATCAGTTAGCTTGTGTCGACGTTTTTATATGAATGGAATTTCTTAATTTATTATCAAAGTCGTATTAAATAGAATATGTATTTTCGTACGTTTATTAATAAGGGAAGGTATTTCAACAAATTCCATAAGAACGTCACGATTTTCCTCTAAAATTATTCAATATACGACCTCAATACATGTAAAGATTATCGAATGTTCTCGACTTTCTATTGCTCAGGAAGTATTCTAAATGCTTCCTTCCTTCGATACTGGGGAGTTCAGGCTCCTCGTGCCGTTATTAAGTTAAAAACAACTTTAAGTTCTGCGGATACGATCGAATATCGAATGTAGCGACCGACCGCCTTATATTGGTAAGGAAAATAAGACCTAAACGTGAGATGAGAACGTTTGGGTGTTACGTAATGTTGAAAATATTTTGGGATCAGTTATGAAACAATTAGGTCACATTATATACTGAACATAGACTTACAATAAATATATTGTTTAAACTGTATTGGTCCTAAATGTATTAACTTTCAGCTTTTATATCTTTTTAAAATATAGAAGCGTATTTTTTAAAGGATATTCTTAATTTTTAAACCTAAGTAAGGATAAAACCAGAAACTACAAAGCCTGAGTCAGCTATCGTGAGGAACTAATAAGTTTCGATATAATTTATAAGTTAAAACCAAGTAGAAGCACATCAAAGGTCACTTGATTCGATATAAATTCAAAATCAGTATACACATTGTTATATATCGGAACCAATCAACTCATTGAAGCTATCATAAAATAAATCAAGTCAGTACCGCTTTAGCCGTTAAGACGCAGTAAATCGGCCCTCGGGATTACAGGGAGCTATATACTTAGTATGGAGAATAGATACACACACACACACACACACACACACACACACACACACACACACACACACACACACACACACACACTAAGAGAGAGACACTACGAGACATTACCTAGTGTGTATTGAAAATAAAATAACTTACTATATAGCAGTTTGATTGGTACTTAAAAACTTACTAAGCCTGGATTCTTGTGATTATGATATAATATATTTAAATATAAAACTCATCGAACGTAAGAATAATAGTAAATGATAAAGATTCGGAGGTCTGTAGAGGGTCTGTCCGGTTAAACCCGTTGATTGATGTTCGAACCCTTATAGTGTGATGTAAATGTACATATACTCATAGGACGGTCGATAACTGAAACTGACTGAGGCTCGCTCATATATTATATTTATAATAATATGTATAATATTATAATTAAATTCAAATTAAACTAATATTATTTGGATTATTTTCTAAGCGTATTTTATTATTTTAACTATCTATTCCTCACTTTTCAGCAACCGTGATCACGGGCATATTTCGTCTGCCTAATATTAATAATAATAATAGTTTCATTAAAATGAATACTCGCGAAAGTCTTCGAAATCATTATATTATTTTAATTAATGGTAATCTATTTAAAATAGATCTATTTGTTTTTAAAGAAAATATTATAAAGAAGTTAGTTTAAGTATTATCAGTATCATTGTAAACTTCTTCATTACTTCTTCTTCTATCTTCTTCTAATATTCTTATCTTCTGTTCAGATGCAGCGTCCCTGGAGATGATCTCCGTCGGTTCCTGTTTCCGTCTCGCTCGCTCTCTCCCCGTCTCCCTCCCACTCGCACCATGACGTCACCAGCTCTTCTTACGATTGCTACTTGTATTGGTAAGTCTTATTTTTATTACTTTATATAAATAATGAGCCGAAGACGAAAATTATAGAAAAGTCACTTTAAATCTATATGTATAAAAGAAAGTCATGTTAGTTACACTATTTATGACTCAAGAACGTCTGTAGGGATATGGTTGAAAATTGGCGGAGTATTATAGAAATAATATAAATTATAGAATATTTAATTCCGTTCGATCGAATAAAAAATTCCAACATCTGGTTATTTATATTCTCTGGGGGTGGCATAGACTTCACTTCAGCTGTGCATGTATTATTAATTACGAAATTAACAAGGACGAAGCCCGGGCAAAAACTAGTATAACAAAAACGAAAACATAATTTAAAATATGAATTACGGTATGAAGAATTAGGTTCTGGTATAAAGGAATCTATGATGAGGTGTTCGTTGTACTTTATAAGAAAGTAATAATAACTAAATGTAATTAATATAATTTCTTTAAACGATAAAATTTGAGACGGAAAATTTTAAATTGCTGAGTAAATTCATACCTGAACATTCGACACCTTCGCTCCAAGTAAAGTATTTACCGAGCGGTCACTTACAACCTACGAGTCTTTAGTTCAAGGACCGCGGAGATTCACAGAGGTTAAACAATAAACGTGTACAGTATCAAGCTAAGAATTTTTATACAAATTGTACACTTAAGATGTTACATTCATCTTCCTTCTGTCTCGGTGTGTTGTACCGTCACCGCACCCCCCAACACCCCCAGAACACCCCCCAACACCCCCAACACCCCCCAACACCCCCAACACCCCCCGGCAACCCTCCAATCTGTCACTGCTACGTCCGTTTCAATCATACAACTTTTTATGATTGTATCACATTAAATAGGGTTAGCGATTTGAAAATAAATATTATATTTTATTATGAAGCCTTATATTGAAAAATTGAAGTTTCCTCATTAATAAATAATGTGTTTCATACTCTAAAACCTTGCCAGATATTTGCTTCTAAGTTTTAACCAGAATATCAATTTAAAATTAAATTTCTTGTTAGCATATGTTTCATTTCGTCCGATGTATATTCATTTTGTTCATAATTATATAAATTTATATTTAAAATATTCAAATGATACCTGATCCTTCTAAATACAATGTTTGTCAATATATTATAAGGCACGAGTGAATCTTAACTTTTAAAGTTAAATATAAACCCATTAGGACTGTTCGAGATCTGCCCCCCTCCCCCCTCCTCCCCCCCACCGCGTCACCCCCGACCTGTCTACGGGTCGTTACACAGACTCACTCACAATGTAACATCATGACCAGCACTCAGCCACTAAGAAGCAATTCACTTGCAAATATACAAGTTACATAATGCATCTGTCCCGCGAGCTATTAAAAATATAAATCACTTACAAGTGACAGTAACGTTAAATAAATCTTAAAATATCGCTGTCGCTGTCGCTTGTGAATGTGAACTGCGTCTTAAACATTGCTTTGTGGCAGAGAAAATGAAAAACGGATTCAGCGACGCACGTAATGACGACCGAATATTATAATAACAGAGAGTCAATATTGATGAGAGGAGAGTATGAGACTAAAACACTACTACAGGGTGGGGTGTGGCGACGGAACTGAAAGAACACTTGTTATACATATTAAGACATAAAAAATAATAGATATATTGAAAATTATTTTATTATATTGAAAACAATAATTACATGTCGGTGACAATGGCGTCGTTCACGACATTAATATGGTATATTATTTCAAAAGGATTTAAATTTAAAATACATTTGATGATATCGCTCCTCATATAATTTTATGATTAAACGGTTATAAATTATATATTAATCAATTTTAAAAACGATCTCACACATCTGTTTTGAAATATCTGGACATATAAACTATGTATTTTCTCATAGTAAAATTTATAAATTAGGTCTGTTAAATGTACAATTGACATTTAAAAAAGTAATTTCTATTATCCAAAATATTATATATTTTTAAATAAAACCAAATAAACTATGAACAGGAATTCAATTCAAACGATATAAACCAGATTCAAAGCAACAAACGAGACATAACGGCTCTAATGAATGGCCTCAAGATAACGGACAATAGAATGCAGTCTGCGGGGGCTTGGAAAAACTACGCATTCAAATATGAATATTAATAAGGAAATACAATAATTTTGTCTTTTATGTGAAATAGGAAAGGAAATATAAAAAATAGTTTAATTTTAAGAAAAGTCTAATTTTGGTTGAAAGAACAAAATCAGGTTCTTTTTTGCAAAGTTAAGAACTAGTCTCTCTAAATAGACACAGTTATAATCTCTAAATTAATTCTGTACTTGTAAAGACGTTCAAACTCTGCTTTCATTTGCATCGAAAAAACAACTGGGAGTCCGCAATCTACGTCCCTACAAAGACACATTCATTTTATTATCGAATATCGTACTTTAGACTTTCAAACTAATCTGGACTTTATCCCTCGGGATTCTGAGTCTGGAATCGTTTTAGCCGATGTAATCCGTACAATCAACAGAATTGTACGCTCCTATCTCCCCCGACACAGAATAAATGTGGCAGAAACTGTGGCAGATCTTTTCATCAGTAATCTTATAAATGTTTACTAAATTCGCATTCTCCCGTGTTCCGTATTATTTCGGTTACGATCATCATCTACGGCTGTATTTAACTTTATTATATTTTCATTCACGGGAACAGATGGCATTATTTTTACTCCACAATAACGACTCGGCTCACTTTGTTCCATTGCGTTATTTTTCTTTTGGGGAACAAAGGTCTTTTGTGTTCCAAGTCGTTGATAAAGTTTCATCGTATCACGGTCCCCTCATATAATATTTTTCCTCTATATCGGTCTTATATGTCTCCTATCCCTCTGTCTTTCTCTACTCTGTGTGTTCTCTCCGCAGCGGACATTATTTGCAAGTGTCTGCAGAACGCCTCCGCACCAGACGCCCATTGAACGAATGTCCGAAACGAATCTATTGCTAGTTTAATATTCCAATTGGTTTTGGTTTAATTCAAAGTGAGAACGTGCATGTACGAGGCTATGTAGTTCGTTAAATAATGAGATATCGGTCTCTCGATATTCTGATTCAGAATTAAATTTATCAAAACTAAAACCATTTCTTTGTGTTGTATTATTATCTTTATACAGGGTGACTGGTGAATTACTATCAATATTTAAGGAGAATACTCGGTACATGATTCTCATTCGAATTATGTAAAAAAAAAATAGGTACTTAATTTTTGACCAAATTTCCGTATAAATAAATAAAGTGTGTACACGTTCCAAGTGTTCCAAGTGTGGACGCGTGCGGCGGCGTGCTGATACAACACCACGCCGCCAAACGCGTGTGTGTGTGTATACCTAATCTGTAGGGTGTTCACATGATGCGTAATTAAATACATAACTTTTGGTTAACTTTACTTAGAAGTTTATTAATATTTATGTTATATTAATTTTTATTTTGTCATATATGATCGTCAAATATCACGTCCTCAAGTATCGATAGTAATTCACCAGTCACCCTGTATATCAGTCAGAGTATCAAGACGCTTGTTGTGTTATTGTTTGCTCACCTCAGTGACGTCACTAATTACAGAGCACCTTCATCATATGTGATGTTTACTTTGAAGATATTATGTGAGAGTTTCTCTTGTTCCGAGACGTTCATATTGCTACCAAAACATAAACTTGACTCACCAATTACATTATGAACGTCATTCACAGGCAGTAAGTCATTTTCAATTTACCATTATGTTATAAAACAATAAAGTGTCATTCCCTCTCGGTAGAGAAATACCGAGAACAAACATTCTCCAGCATTTTAAACGAGCTTGTAGTTCCTGTAATTGAGTTTACACAAGTTTTTGACGTATGTACGAGTAAGTGTGACGCCCGCTTTATATATATCACTTGCTCATGTTAAACTGTGAACAAAAGAACTCGTACAGATACAACTCGCGTTAGTACTATGATATAATATGATATTTAGTTTCGTCATTTATTAATGGTGTAACTATTCTAGTTCTGTAGTGACTCAGTCCCAGCGCGGCCGGTCGTCGCTGGTGAGTCCTACGTTCAATATTGATGAGAAACGCTTTTAATCTCAAGCCATGAATACATTACTGGACGGACGTCTGATTACTTTAAGATAACTTTTCATGATAATAGGAATTTAACTTTTATGACGTTCGTGTTTTAATAACTTCACGGAACCGCCTCCGGGATGTTTAACATTTTTACTAAATTTCTTCGTTAATCGTCCGCAACTTGAGAGGCGAATTCATTTATAACTGTTTTAATACTGCATTATTCATCTCGCCATTACTACTTATATTATATGTATAGTAATTATATTAAAACTTGTTTAATTTCTAATCGAAATAGTTCATATTTATGTTTTAATGTTATGTATTACTCGATAAATTATTTTAATTAGAAAATGAATTCAGTGAATTATTTTCATACAACAAGTAACCTGATTCTCCTCGTGAAAGTTTGTACACATGTTTTGGAAATTAATACGAAAGGTAGATTTTGATGTTTCGAGATTATTCAAATACTGTATTGAATATGGCGTACAAGAATACATATTTAATCATAATATATTTATTTGTTTCTTTTGAACTATAAAAATTCACTGACTGTACTTATAACAATATATTATGTTTTAGAGATTATTCTAAGTACAAGTATTCCGTGTTATTCCAGTGAGAAGAACGTAAAGCAATTATGTGTTCGTATTTAAGTCTCGTAACACAGTCGATACATGTCGCTGTCTTATACTTAACATATCTATTTATAAACACACATTATTTGTTTCTTCCAACCTGACTTTCTGCTTCACGTCAGCGTACTATCGTGAAAAAGTAGTTTCCTAACACTTACGTCTCAATTCGTGAGTCGTTCTTACAGACCAAAAGCTTAATCTTTTGTGCAAAATAACTATATTCAACTTAATAATATAAGTATTTAGATCACGTCTTTAACGTATATATAGTAATGTATGTATATTTATTAGTTTATTCAGGAGCCGGCTGAACCTAAAGGCCTAAAATCACAAAGGCTTAGTAATAAAGTCCAGCGGCTCATTAATGCACAAACAACATGACCGGTGCTATCACCATCATAACTACTTATACTGCATCCAGATAATAATAATATATCGATACACAAACATACATACATATGAATAACTAAATAAAACTATGTATATATTTAATATTTATCATTAAAAAATATTAAATTTGTTAAACTTTATTTAAAATGTTTCAGCCATAATTAACTATAATGTAGTAAATTGTGATGAAAGTAACGTTATTTAAATGTCAAAAAAAACAATTTCTATTGAAAAAGACCATTATAACTAATTAAATATTTAGATTTTATGCCTTTCATATTTTGAGTTAATGATGTAAAGGTAATAATTTTACCTTTTCAATTAAAAATATTTTCATGATTTGGACAAAAGTTTTGTTGAGCTTATTACTCCAATTAAAATTCAAATAGTTAATATAAAATGAGATATTCATGGCAGGTTTTGAAGCTTCAACTTTTATAATATCGAGTTTCGGTCACTTGTACAACTAAGCCGTCGTGTCACACCATTCGGTGAATTAATCTTTCTATATACTCGTATCTAACTGTATTGGGGCGGAGATGCCAGTTGTAGATTTACTTACGAAAATTTTATCTAATGACTTTGATTTATAAAAGAAACGTTTTAAATTGATATAATTTCTTATATTATTATTGAAATTAACGTTGAGTATTGAAATTTCTCTAAGTAATCGTCCAGACGCCCTGACTTTATATGATACTTTAGGTTTAAACATAATAATCAAATCAATAAAGTCAATACTTTTTTATTGACACGAGTAGTCTAAGCTGTAACTTTAGTGATATATATATATATATATATATATATATATATATATATATATATATATATATATATATATATATATATATATATATATATATATATATATAAGTTAATACATGTCGTTATAAAGTCAGCGATAGCCTAGTGGTTATTTAGACATTACTAATTAATGCTGACTCCCAAAGAGGGTTGATGTCAGGCAGGCGGCCGGTCGTAAAAACAGTTAGCCCAAACTATACACAAAATGTAGGGCAGACCCTGGCTAAAGCTGGGAAATTGCCAGGTAGAAGAAGTATACCGGTCGTTATAAATAGTATTCTGTAATATGTACAGACTGTAAGTCATTCATATCATCAGACACGTATGAACTTTGTTCTAAGCTCGCGGTCACCATCCACTGTAATTGGTAAGTGGTACAATTGCAATAAACTGCCGTGAAATCCCCTCGCAATTTATTATTGAGTCTATTTGAACTGCGGCTTTTCCGGTTGACCCAAGTTATGCAGTGCTCTGATACGTTCACTATTTATTGTGTCGGCTTAAATATCTAACATTACTACATAAAATACATTTAGTTTTAATAAATATTTTTCTTTTTATTTTAAATTAGTTTTTGCCCGCGACTTCGTCCGCTTTAATTTCGTCATTAGTAATATAGGTCTAGCTGACCGGGCAAACTCTATTCCGTCTTCAATAACCCGGTATTTGTATTTATTAAATTTCTACTGTTTCAATCGAACAGAATGATTGACATATTAGTTAGTTGTCAAGTCTAATGTCAAAGAAAACATTTGTATGGGAAATAGAAAAGGGCTGTTTTCAGGATTATTCCGGCAATTTTTCTAATTTTTCTCACCTTTTAAACCTTCCCTGGACTTCCAGGAGTATTTCAAGACTAAAATTAGCCAAATCGGTTCAGCCGTTCTCGAGTTTTAGCGAGACTAAGGAACAGCAATCCATTTTTATATATATAGAAGATAAACAGCTGAGTTGATTTATAGATAAATGTAATCAAATACTTGTCAATCATCAGAACTTTTCACTACATCGTGGAGTTTGTGTTGATACATTTGTTAAAGGATTATTTTACATTATTTAACCAAACATATATTAGTCACAGATATATTTGAGTATTTAAATATTAACATGATTTAAACAAACGTAATATGTTCCCGGTGTATCCTAATATAAATGTGTAACCGTTGATATCTACCTGATGTTATCCCTTCTTTAGGTCAACGTTTGTTGTAATCGCTCCGGGTCTATTGTCCTTTTATTATTGTTTCGGGTTGGGGTCACATTATTATTTTGGTCAACATCTGAAATTATGAAAGGATTTATTGTAGTGGTTCATTTATTTATTTAAATGTACGAGGCTTTGTAATACGAGGATGTTTCTCAAAAAGTAAAGTAGATTTTATAACTATAACAATATTTACAAAGCACTTATGTTTATAGAAGAATGAATAAATCAGCATTTAATTCAGTATTGAAATGTAAACATTTCCCTTTTTTGAATTAGTTTCTATCATTTTTATGTATTTTTTCTTTATAATGTTAAAATATAAAAACATATGTACATATTATACACCATCGATAGGGTTAGATAGAAAATTACATTTCCAATATATCATCGTGATGGTCAACAAGGAGAGCGGTCAGGCGCGGGTTCAATAATCCGCAGCTTGATAGATAATTACTTCACTGTTTTAAGACTCAGCTTAACGCTAAAAATACTTACATCCGTGATTCTCCTTTGAGGATTAACTGATTGGAAATGATTGTGTGTGAGTATTATTAATAATATTGTTCTAGAACATATCCTTGGATAATTTTCGTTATAAAACTTTATTATTTTGTTGTTAAGGAAACGAAATACAACCTTTAGTTGTTCCTTCTTTAATCCTTATTGATATATGTTTCCTTATAAAAGCAATCTATGTTTCTAACAAGTCAGTTTCATAAATTTACGAACTTTGTTCCTAAATTGAGAAAGAAATAAAAGGGACTTTGAAAAATTTGTCGGAAAAAATACAAAACCCGTAAAGCACTCACGCCAGCTACACAGGTTGAGGAAGGTAATTTTTTCTTGCACTTCATTAACCCAGAAGCTTCGAGTGGCTCAGATTTGCATTTTCCTTCAACGGTTTTAATATATATTAAACTAATTACGATGTTCAATGATGATGAAGAGCTTGTCCACTCCTACAGACATTATTGAAATGTTATTCAGATACACTTTGATGAAACAAATACAAGTACTTTATAATAAACTTTTCACGTTATATATTTAAAGATTATAATATTATATACCAGTGGTTTTCTAAATTTATTTCTGTCTATTTGAATCTTTCTGACTTTATTTAAGAACTATTCTGGTTTGAAAACAGGATGAGAAAGTGATCTCTCTAGAAATTAAAGGGATGTTAAATTTAATAATAATATTTGATTCCCTAATAATAATGGTACATGACACGCTTTGTATAACGTTTGAGAGAGAAATAACAGTTAGCGTGCTATCAGCGTGTAGTGCAGGTCTTGTAATTGCAGTTTCAAAGTATTGTGTAGTTCTAACGTCTATGCTTACACGTTGTAGAAGTCATTTTGTAGCAGTCATACGAATTAAATATAATATTCATAAGTACTCATAGAAAATATTAATGACTTACTTTTGCTATATTATATACTACTAGCTTTCCGCCCGCAGCTTTGCCCGCGTAGAGTTCGGTTATATCGCGTTTCCAAGAGAACCTTTCAAAAAGTCTGGGATAAAAACTATCAATTTCTCAAGGTCAATTTCTATTCTATTTCTCTGCCAAATTTCATTAAAATCAGTTCAGTGGTTTAGGCGTGAAAGACAGACAGACAGAGTAACTTTCACATTTATAATATTAGTAGGGATGTATGTACATTAAATCAAAAATATTACTTGTTATAGACGTGGACAAATAATAAAAACAGAGATGAACTTACAGTATAATGTAAATCGTGCTTATCCACGTGCTTACGTTTGAGAATATTTAAATCAGGTTATAGAAATAATAAATTAATATTCGGTTATTGTATTCTCGTAACAAAATCGAAATATTTTGTTTAAACTCGTGTACATTACACCAAAGTTTAACAGCGACAGCATGGAGGGATTTCATTGAAAAATCTGCGAGATATCTTGGCACCCTTTAAACAGACTGGAGTGTTGTATGAAATATACTAAAACATAACTACTGGCTTCTTTGATACGACATTAAGATAAATTGTCATTTAGAACATAAAAAGCTATATACAATATTCTACATTACTGAGGTTAATAAAACGAAGTGTAACAAGTTTATTTTGTATAGCGTTACGGATGTCTTCAGGTAACTTAAGAAAACCAATTGATGAGACTGAGCTTAGCATCGGGTTGAAATGGTTTAACAAATCTTTTCTATCGAGGAACGTGAAAACCTGACATTATACGAGATTCATTTTCTTTGGAAAGGAAGGAAAAGGTGGAGCACGGACGATAATATACCGGCTTGTAAAGATAACGCTCGGATACTTAGAAAACAAATGACTCATACTGGAAATGATGGAAATATTTATGATGTGAAATGAAAATGTATGTAACATGTTGCCGCGCGCTAAATGTTAATGAAGCAGTTTAATTCAAACTTTAACATTTAAACACTTGAATTTGACGCCTTTGTAAGAATATTTCATATTTACATCGTTTTTGTGAAGAATTTAAAATTAGGTGTTATTATATGTATTATTTATTACCTAACGGAATAAGTTATTGATTTATTCCAACAATTGAATGTATTCAAAGTGTAAAATAATGCTATTATAATTTTGCATTAAAAACATGAGGAAAAATTATTCATATTATAGAACAATTTTTTTTACTGACATTATATGTACTTCACAACTTACTTAATTCTCATCTTTAAACCAACATCAATTTTATATAAACGCTATCAATAGATACATCTTTTATATGTACATCATAATTTTTACTCAAAATAACAATAAAAATGTAACAAATTTTTCAACATTTCTCATTTCCATGTGAATTATTACGAGCACATTTAAAACAAACCTGTAACTCTGAATGTATCCACGCGGTGTTTTTAAACGCGTCAGTCTGTTTCAATTTTCTGTCCTAAATTCGGTATAAAATGCCATGGGTTTTAATAAAAATATGTTTTGTATTCGACAATTTTAATGTTATTTCTTATGTTGGTTGTTAAATATGGCCTTCATCTGTACAAAGACGTGCACGGTATATTCTGCTAGCGTCGCTTAGAATGGAGGAGACACGATCCGGGATTAACTTTGAAATGTAATAAACATATTATTTCTTAATATATAATAATTAACAGACACATTTGACATTCATGAAACAAAGAGTCAATGTCAAAGTTCACAGACAAATTATAATTTTTAAGAGTTCGTTGGTATGTTCTAATTAAGTGTCGACATAATATTATTTATTTTAATATATTAATGATACACATTTGACATATTTAAAAAATATATTTTCGTTTCTAAAAATCGGAGCATTAAAAACATTTCTATTAAATTAAAGTATTATCCATTACATAGCATTAGTGGTATATTTTGTAGTAAGCCCGTACATATAATAAGTAAAATATTTGAAATTATCTTATTCAATAATAATAATTTCATTGTGCCTGAATAGTTCTACAAAATAAGATCTAAGAATTTTGTTAGTATTCATTTAAATAAAATTAATATTCCGGATTAAATGAAAATTTTCATCTCGTACGCCCGTGATCACGGTTGCTGCGAAGTAATCGTAACGTCGGGAGTATGTAGTTTAAAATAATAAAACATAATAGTAAACTAAAATATTAGTTTCATTTAGTTCTGTAAAAGTTTTGTAACCACATCATATTAAACGGTTTGAATTATTTTACTCGTAAAAACTATTAAAAAAAACATTCAAAGTTAAAGAACTCATTACAGAGAAAGTGTCTCCTTAACAAAAACAATTCATTAAATGTTTAAGATTTACCTACATTTTGTTAATATTTTAAATTTATTAAACACATATAAAATAAATATATTAATCAACGAGTAGGAAACCAAGCGGCATTTAAATCCAACACATCAATTCTGTTCAATCAAACGTTTTCCATCGACACCAGTACAGACCGCACCCTTTGTGTGTGAGTGTCAGACACCAGACATTAATTGCAACACAAATGTCACGGGCGTTCGACATTCATTTGCCAGTCCGTGATTTCGCCTCACACAGACCTCTGTAACTTGCTTTATGTTGGAACATTGAAGAAATGCAAATTGTGACTATTGTTATAAAACTTTTAATGAATGTTATATAAAAGTTTGACTGCTTGTGACTGTAACATATACTTTCTTTTAACTCAAGGCTTCTTCTAC